CCAAAGTTTGTGCATTATGGAAGAAGACAGGGTCAGCGTGTTCTATTAACATGATAGTGTTTCAAATGTGGGCAATATAAACATAAGTTATGGATTGCCCTCAAATATTTGAAGGATAAAGACATGTGATTAGAGCAGAATAATATAGATAAGGTTATAGACAGAGGATACAGTGAAGGATCTGTGAGCATGATAGATGAAAGGGGAGCTAGTGAAAGTTAAAAAGAGCCCACATATTCTATTACGTATACACCAATAATAATATGACCCAAAGTTTATAGTTTGATTTAATAGGATGATAGAGATGTGCCACGAGGATCCACTAGTAGAATTCTCATTCTTATGTATTTATTTGAGTAATGAGCATTGCATAGTCTTATTTATATAATATATAATTGAATGATGCATGAGTGTGATAGATTGATCAAATACATGGTTGACTGAAAGAAATGATAAGCTAATGATCAATACTATTTTGGACTTATCGATAACATATTGATTTTTTTAAAAAATTGAATTAGTTTATTTAATGATTTGATGAATTAATTTCTTTTTGTTTTTTTTTTAATGTTGAGAATGATATTTTTTAAAAATGGAAAAATTATAATAGCCCATATTTTGACATAGATAAATAACATTTCAGGAATAATTATAAATCTAATTTATAAATCATCTTTTCCATAATATAGATATTATTATGCTTTAATTGTAATAATTTTTTCCTAATTTTAGAGGTGTTGACTTTATTTTTGTATGAGGTCACTAAGACCAATTCAGACCCAGATCAATCCATATCTCAAAGCAATCCAGATCTCAAATCAATTCAAACCTCTACCTAAATGATCTGATGGTTAACAAGGCTCTAGGTGTCAACCATCTAAATATCAATTTATGATTTAATTTATCCACACTTTAAATCCATCTAGACCATAGATCAATCTGGACTCTAGATTAATCCATACCCCAAATCTATCCAGACTTAAATCAATTCTAAATTCAAGTTTAGACTTCAGTCAACTCAAAATCAATCTAGACTTCAATCATTTAAACCTCAATCAACCTAGATTTTAGTCAATCCAAACTTCAAACCAATTTAGACTTCAAATCTATCTAGTCTTCCAACCTAGTTTTGAATTAACCTTTGAACCAACCTCTAATCAAGCTTTAACCATATCTATTCTTTAACAATCATCTAGTTGATTATTATTGATATGTATATTTCAAACTTAATCAATCAAATCCAAAATCTAGATCAAAATCCAAGGTTAAAGAAAGTCATTTTGAGTAATTTTTCAATCGTTTCAAAACCCAGTCAAATGACATCTGATTCATAATCTATCAATTTCATATTGACTAGGCATGTCCCTAGGGACAACCTTTCAAATTTAAGCTCAATCTAAGGTCTCTAACCTTACAAATTAAATTTATTTTTAAAGGTTGTAAATCCTTCAAATATTTTACGACCTATGCCACTAGACCCTCTACCTTATGGATTTTGACATTGGGACCTTCCCCGAAACATTTTATCATGTCCAGACCCTTGATTATGACATGTTAAACATTATTCTGTATTTTGACAGACCCAATTAACCAAGGGGTCAAAATGACCCAAATACTCCTAAAGACAAAATTTAAGTTTCCTTTAAACTTCAATATGGCACAGTTAAATTAGACTTGATTAACCAAGTCAATCTAGGCTGACTACATAGCCCATTAAGGATCTAAATAGTCATTTTGACCCAAATGACCATTCTGACCCATGAGACCACCTCTATTGGCCTTTATTGATCAAACCAAATCAATTGAACCTAGAATTGAGACCTGGGTCAACCAGGGTTAACCAAATCAAATATTAAGCCTTTTTATATTAGATCAAGACTCAAATGCATACAAATCTCATTCAAATTCCCTTGACTATTTCCCCTGTTGATTTGGGTTAATTTGTCATCCTAACCTAGTCAACAGTTGACTTGGTCAATTGAGCCTAAATATGGTCAAATCAAACTTGACGCATATGGGTATCTTCATTGCATTCATTCAAACCAACCTATTTAATCCTTCTACATCACTCAAATACACGCTTTGACCATCTCTAAACACTCTATGAGTCAACTCTCAGTTACTTTGTCTTGGTCAACTCACAAGCAATAGTCAAACCTTCCTATATATATACTATCTCATTCAAACATTGAATCTATGACTTAAATCTTACAAACTCATGACTTCACTATATTTAATGATTAGAGCATATTCAAGCTCATCACAGAATAAGCCATGGCCAAGTTGACTTATTCAACTCACCAAAACTTTGTCAAACATCCCCAGTTCTCATATTTTTGTTAAATCCAAATCCTGTGACTTGCCACTCATCCCAAACTACTCCAAATAGTTTATGAGGCCACCTTGTATGTTATCTCATCAACCTTGGTTAAGTTGACTGGTCGTTTAAACACTTATTTTCATGGTCAAACCACTTAGTTTGTCCTCTTTGATTAAACCCTAGCCCATACAGCCATTCAAACAACATATTAAACCCCACCTAGACTCCACCTCAGTAGGGCTTGATTTAGTTAACTAGTCAAATAGTCCACAAAAGCTTAATTAAGCTTAAATGGTCAACTTGGCCCTAACAAGCATTATACTCTAAATCCAGCTCATTTCAATTATTTAAAGACCTTATAGAGGCTTCTTAAATGACCCCTAAACCCAACTTAACCCTTAATATAGTCCTAGATATATCCTAATCAAGCCTATGTGCATATAAGGCCAAAATCACCTTTACACCTAGTTGTCCTTGGCTTGTCCTTGACCTCTGCTCCTAACAAACCTCAGGCACTTATCAAGCATCAGGGATGAAGCCAAATAAATCAAGATCGTCCAAGAATCCCTAGGTCATTTGAATTGGCCAAAAGAGGCCAAATGACACTCACTCTCACTTAAGCATTCTCTCTCCATTCAATCTCTCCCAGACCTGACCCTTTGTTCTTTTGAGCTTTCAACAATCCCCTCCACATTTCTCAACGTTAATTGAGCTGATCAAGGCCCATTCAAATCATTAAAAGCCCTTTAATTAAATAAATTTAAATATTCAATTAAATAGTCAAACATTGAAAATGTCAAATTGAGCAAATTCAAAGGCATTGGACTCCATTTGAGGTCTAATATTTATTAAAAATACTAAACCACATGAATTAAAATTTAAAAAGTCAACTTTTTAGTCTACGTTAGTCAAATTTAAGTCGAAACTTTAAAAATTAATAACTAAATGTAGAAAAATTCAATTTATGTAAACTTAGTGTCTAATTACTCATCTTAAGGTCTAATATTCAAGAAAAATATTAAAACTACAGAAGTCAACTTTAATCAAAAAGTCAAATTTTGACTCCTTAATCTAATATATTAAATAATTAAAAAAAATCAGAAATTCAATATTTAATTAAAATTTCAGAAAGAATTAAATCAAATCTTCAAAACTAGTAACCAATCAATCTTGATTAAAAATTACCAACCTTTAAGTTCTAACCAATTAAACTCCTTAATTCATACTAATTTTGCAAATAATAGTTAAACCGTACATAGGTATGAAATAAATGTTCAAACCTTGGTAGAATAAGAATCTAACCATTAATATAAGCTTTGAACCTTCTTTATATTTGTATATGAGGTTATCATTTGTCTCATTCCTGTTATAACTCAATTTTTTTGAGATGAATGCATTTTAACCTAAATAATTAACAGTATAATATCCTTAACCTTGAATAGATGATCATTTAAAAGTATGAGCTATCTCACAATAGATAGATAAGGTCCTAGGAAAAAGGAAGTTTGAGTAGCTAAAATTTGAACAACTAAAATTTAAATGACTAGCTCACTTGTCATAAGGTTGAAGTAATTCAAGATTGAGGGTTATGGCTCAACCTTAAATATAATAGTGTTAATTTAATTATAAATAATCTCTTGAATATATTTATTCAAATAAATAAATAATTGAGACATTTGTCCACTCATGTGTGCATGATTCATATGCATTCAAAATTTTCTGAGCATACAATATGTCGTTAATACAAAGACTAACTATTAGTAAAATAAAATTATGTAGGCTAGAGTGCAAACTCTGTTCATTATTATCTTCATTTAGGGTTGTTTGGTTGGTAGCCAAGTAAGCGTAACACATTTATTTTATATATAGTTAAGGATTGTTGTTGTTTGATTTGAAGGGAAAAAGTAATTTATTTACCTACGGTATTATATATATATCTCAAAATATGCTTACTTCAAAACAAGCCCCCCCCCTAAAAAATTTAAAATATTATGATATTTAGGCAATTGCCCCATGCATAATTAAATACATTATGTAGAGGTGTTATTGCCAGGGAATGATGAACCATATACAAAGAGAAATTGTAAATCAAATTTTGTAGAGGTCGAACCCCACTAGGGGGTGCTGCCCCCTTGGACCCCCTTTTATATATGCTAAAAGTTACTTTATATGCTAAAAGTTACTTATAAATTTGCCCCCCCTTGAAAATTATAGCTGGTTTCGCCCCTGACTACACCTTTTGCCCATTGCCATGAAACCCTAGCCTTCGAAAGCCCCTTGGACATCCTTCACACCTTCCAAGCAACAAAGAAAAGTCCTACATGAATGTATTATCTTTCCCAAGCCTTTGTTAACACTTTCAATTTTTAAAAGTTCAAATAAATAATTCATGAACAAAAACCCCCAATATATTTAGCCGTCGCAGGTAAAATTATTTGAACATTTCAAGCGTATTTAAAATAAATAATATATTTACATAGCCGTAAATATTTTGAACTATTATTTTTATGATTACTCAATTAAATAATTATTATATTTGTAAGAAAAAAAAGAAAAAAAAAATAAAATCGTAAAAAACAGCCAACGAATTGAAATTGGGGTCAGTAAAAATTATAATTCGAATCATTATATTAATTAGTCGAGAACCTTGTTCGATAAATCAAACTGCCCGCACCAAAATTGCTACGCCTGCAAAAGTGGAATTAGTGGTGTCCGTTTCCTCCGGTCACGTCTGGTCGCCGTACGTATATAGTAACGGGAAAATTGTTCCTTATTTTCCGAAATTCCCGCATTCCTGTATGTGCACACTGCCCTCCGGCTTCTACCTAAGCCGCAGCGAACAAGAGACAGGAGCGGGCGGCGACGGAGGTGAAGAAGCCCGAAGTGATAGGAAAACGCCAACTCTTTCAAATCCTTCCAACATTTTTGCTGCTTGCTTCGTAATGGAATACGCGCCGGCTTGTTGTTGCTGCTGGTCGAGATCGGGATTCTGGTGATCTTGCAATACCCGCTTTCCTCGCAGCAAAGCTGCGGATCCTTTTCTATTGGATCCAGTTAGGTTTTGGCGGTTTTGCTGGGGAGAGGGAGATGGCGGGATGGAGGTATCGAGCTGGGCTGCTTCTCATCGGCGCTGTGGTGGTGATCTGGGTTACGTCTGCTGAAGTCACGCAGGTGAGATGGATCCCACTATTGTCTGTGGTGCCAGATTTCTTTTTTTATAATTGGTTGTTTTGTGTTTCGGAGATGTTTTTTTTTTGTTGTTTTGGTGTTTGAGATCTGGGAGTCTGTGGGTGGATTATGGGGTCGGTTTTGAGATCGGAAGGGAGAAGTGGCAGAGATGAGGAAAGAGGTGGATCATTGGATTGCCGTCGCTGATGAATGGGAACATGAGGAGTCGGCCTTGGATGGAATAAGGGATTTTTGTTGGAATCAGCAAAACGGTTGCGGTTAATCCTCATGAAAAGGCTAGCCTTGGCCATATTAGGAGTGGTGGGATTATGATGATTTTCGTGGCTGATAGACTCCCCAGGATTTGAGATGCATAAAGAACAGCTAAGTTGCTTAGTCATATTGAAGAAAACAGTTTGAGTAGAGTTTATTCATTAATGAAGACTTTGTCATATTATTTTCTTGATATATTTGGGTTAGAAATTTTAATTCAGTAATTTTGATGCTTCCTGCCTCTTTTATCGGCCTGCACTGCGCTAGAATGAACTTTTCTTTTCTTTTTTCGGTGAAGAATTATGCTTCATCAACCGTAGATAGCATAGCTTGCATCTGGAAATCTGTAGGTTTATGGTATAATTTTGGGAAGAATTATGCAGGAGTACCTGTGTTCAAACACAAGGTGGTTTGACCAAGTATTTTCCTATTTTAGTTGGATTACATCAAGGGTCAGCCTTAAGCCCATATATTTTTGCTTTAGTCATGGATGTTCTCACTAGACATTTGCAAGAGGTTGTACCATGGTGTATGCTTTTTGTTTATGAGATTCTTCTTGTTGATAAGACTACAGAGGGAGTTGAAGGTAAACTTGAATTATGGAGGTAAACCTTATAGTCTAAAGGCTTTCTTTTGAGTAGATCTAAAACTTAATTCATGGAGTATAATTTTAGTAATAATAGATCTAGTGGGGAGATTGTGACTTTGGACGATCAAGTCATTAATAAGAACACACGTTTTAGATATCTTGGGTCCATTGTTCAGAGTGATGTTGAAATAGATGGGGATATTATTAGTAGAATTCAAGTTGGATGGTTGAAGTGGAGGAATGCATCGGCTTGTTATGTGATAGAAAAGTTCCTCTCAAACTTAAGGGAAAATTCTATAAGATGGTAGTGAGACCTGAATGCTTTATAGTGTAGAATGATGGCTATTAAAAGAGAAGCATAATATTAAGTTAAGTGTTGCAGAGATGAGGATGCTTAGGTGGATGAGTGGCTTTACACTTAAAGATAGGATACGAAATGAGCATATACATGAAATGATTGGAGTAGCTCTAGTGGAATATAAGATTAGAGAGAGTCGCCTTAGATACTTTGGTCATATAAAACGGTGGTGATGAGGACATCGATCCAAGGTTCAAACATGTGTATCGCCGGAAGCATTGCAGATCGATGGCCACGATTCAGAGCTTATATTTCTAGTTGTTTATGCATTTTATTTTTATGTTTTCCTATTGTACCCTTATGTTGAGTTGAGTCATGTTGGGGCCCTGAGGGCAATTTAGTCTTTATTTCTTCTTGTATGCTTGAGACCTATATATATGGGTCTTTCTCTTGTAATAGCTAATGAATATTGGAATGAAAATTTGTGTTTTGTTTCTACTTCTTCTTGCATGAGAGCTTGAGAAGGGAGAGAGCTCAGGGGAGCAAATCGCAAGGCCTACCAGGCGTTGGAAGAGTCCGCGGCTCGTGGTTAAGTTATTGTATCTCTCGTTCGTGTTTTCTTCCATCTTCTTCCCCTCAACCATAAGAAAATCCCTTCCAAAACTCTTGTTGCCGCCGCCCCTTGGAAGCCCGCCGCCGGCCACTCCCACGGCCCCGACCGGCCACCTTGCCGGCGACCTTCCCCACTCGTCCAATCCCTCATTCCGCAAGTTTCCAATTTGAAATTTGAATTTCAAATTTCAAATTCTTTCCTAATTTGAATTTCCAATTTAGGAAAGTTTTCATGACGAATTCCAATTTCAATTTAAATTAAATTGGAGTCTTTTAAATCTATTTCCACGTCATCTCCCCAAATTGGAAACCTCTTCCCTGTGATCCCTCCCCCTTCCCCCTCTCTCCATGCCGCCGGCCTTACTAGGCCCTCTCTCTCTCTCTCTCTCCATTTAATGCTCACTTAAGGCATTAATTCCATGCCAACTTGAAATCAAATATCAAATCAAATTCCCCCCAAATTTCATTCAAATCCTGAAATTAATTTCAGGTTTTGAAGTAACTCCCTCCCCTCTCTCTCCGAGCTCCTTAGTATTTGCAAATTACTTCCTAAAACAAAATCCATATTTAGGAAATAATTTCAGATATTTTAATCTTCCCTCCCCAGCCGAAAATTTCAAAAGGATTCAAGCATTAAATGCTTCCCTGAAATACGGGATTGGATTCAGGAAATTAACCCACCTCCACATCCCTATCCCGCCGCTTCCCCTTCCCCTTTATTGCTGGATGTTTGAAAGCTTTCCATAAGTTGAGCAAATCGCTTTGGAAAGATTGCATGTTGCTCTCCCCTGCTGGCCGAAAACCCCCCACGGCTCATGTGCTAATTTCCCTCCACAAATCTCCACCCAAATTCACTCAAATATTGGAATTTTCTGCCGTCTAAAGTTGCAGCCAGAGCATTCCAGCAACTGGCAGTGTTTTCACAGCCACTTGAAGTCTCAAAGCTGCTGTTTTGCAAGATCAAGATTCTTCTCAGGTTTTGGGCAAATAAATCAAAATTTATCTCATATTTTTGGAGAGGAGATCCTCTCCTTTTTTTGTTCTACACCGGAGATTATTTGGATCGAGTGGTTCCTACTCTTGCGAGCGTCATCGACCGCCAACTTCCAAACTACGATTGGAGCATCGACAGTCAACCATTCCCGCCGTCCTCGCCACCGTCAACCTTTCCGTGGTTCAAGGCCGTTGGGGTTGCTACCGTCCTCGTGGCATCGTTGGATATACTAAATACCTTCTTCCGCTAATCCTAGTGTAGTTGAGTGATCCATCCCCAAGGTGATAATTCTCATTATTAAGTTGCAGATTGTTGATTAATAGCTTTTGGTATTGCTACTATCTTTGGTTACCTAGGAGTTTTGGTTAATCTATGTGTACTTCTTCGCCTAAGCTAGTTGAAGACTAAGGTTCTTTATTGAAATTCCTTGATTATTGCAATAAGCTATTGAATGGAATTACATTGTCAATTTATTCTTAAAATTTCTTAATGAGCTCCTGTGCATGTTGGTTTCTCCCTCCCCTCTCTCTTCTAGCTCCTTAGTATTTGCAAATTACTTCCTAAAACCAAATCCATCTTTAGGAAATAATTTCAGATATTTTAATCTCCCCCCCCAAAAAAAAAAAAAAATTTCAAAAGGATTCAAGCATTAAATGCTTCCCTGAAATACGGGATAGGATTCAGGAAATTAATCCACCTCCACATCCCTATCCCGCTGCTCCCCCTTCCCCTTTATTGCTGGATGTTTGAAAGCTTTCCATAAGTTGAGCAAATCGCTTTGGAAAGATTGCCTGTTGCTCTCCCCTGCTGGCCGAAAACCCCCCACGGCTCATATGCTAATTTCCCTCCACAAATCTCCACCCAAATTCACTCAGATGTTGGAATTTTCTGCCGTCTAAAGTTGCAGCCAGAGCATTCCAGCAACTGGCAGTGTTTTCATAGCCACTTGAAGTCTCAAAGCTGCTGTTTTGCAAGATCAAGATTCTTCTCAGGTTTTGGGCAAAGAAATCAAAATTTGTCTCAGATTTTTGGAGAGGAGATCCTCTCCTTTTTTCGTTCTACACCGGAGATTATTTGGATCGAGTGGTTCCTACTCTTGCGAGTGTCATCGACCGCCAACTTCCAAACTACGATTGGAACATCGACAGTCAACCATTCCCGCCGTCCTCGCCACCGTCAACCTTTCCGTGGTTCAAGGCCATTGGGGTTGCTATCGTCCTCTTGGCATCGTTGGGTATACTAAAGACATTCTTCCGCTAATCCTAGTGTAGTTGAGTGATCCATCCCCAAGGTGATAATTCTCATTATTAAGTTGCAGATTGATTAATAGCTTTTGGTATTGCTACTATCTTTGGTTACCTAGGAGTTTTGGTTAATCTATGTGTACTTCTTCGCCTAAGCTAGTTGAAGACTAAGGTTCTTTATTGAAATTCCTTGATTATTGCAATAAGCTATTGAATGGAATTACATTGCCAATTTATTCTTAAAATTTCTTAATGAGCTCCTGCGCATGTTGGTTTCACATCAGGTGGCCTTCCGATGACCTGGTTAGGAAAGTAGATGTATTATATTTGACTTATATTAAGAAAGGTAGATATAGACCTAAAAAGACTTGATTAGAAAATATTAGAAATGACATTTCTTTATTAGATTTAGATCGGAATTTGACCCTTAACAGGAGACAATGGAGAAAAAGGATTCATGTAGCCGACCCCACATAGTGGGATAAAGGCTTGTTGTTGTTGTTGCTGCTGAGATCTTTACATTATATTAGATGACTGCCAAAATTAAACCTATGGGTAATGCATGCAAGCTGATCACAACAGGACGCTTGGTAAGGAAAAAGCTTATTGTTTATTATCATGCAATTGTACTAATTGACATGTTACTTACCTCATCCATTGCATGCTTTATCTTATGTTTTATCTTACAAATAAAACTTAGAATCTAATTGTTGTGAAAATCTTCTTGCACCTCATATAAAACAAATCACTGGTGTGCTCTTTTTAGTAAGTTTGAAACCTATTAGATTGGACTGATGTGTAACTTTAACTACTCAGTCTTTGATCTGTTGTTGGTGTATTATCGGTTTTAGTTTTCTTTCAGTGGAAAGTTGCAGTTCTGCTTTTTTAGCTTGTTTTCTATCTACCATGAGCGAAATATTTAAGAAATATTGTTACAGTTCCAGAAAATATCGCTGGTCCTATATTTTTTATTTTTAAATAATTGAATCTGTTGGTTTGGCCTGATCTTTCAGAGCCTTATGGGCAGAAAACAATATTGTGGGACTTTATACAGTTTACAGCTGAATTAGTTTGTCTGCAGGCCTCTCGCATTCTTTCTCCTTTGTTTGGTAACACACTTGTTTGGTTTGCTTTTCATTTCATTTGTGGGCAATAAAGAAGTATATTTTGGTTTCTTGTGCATATGTTCTTAACTTGCTATTCTTGAACAGGGTATTTTTACAGACTACAAACAACCTTTTGCTGTCACTTATTTGGGAGCCTCTCTCATGATCATTTATCTTCCGATAGCCTTTATGAAGGATTGGATATGCAACATGCTAAGAAAGCATTCATCTAAAGGAGGCAAAACTTTGAAGTCTGCCAACCAATCTTCTGCAACAAATTCCCTTGCAAAATCTAAGGAAATGCAGAAAATGCTTCAAATAGAATCACATTCCCCTTTAAATCGAAAAGAAAGTGGCATTGACCTTTCTATACAAGAAGGAGAGGAAAGTCCATTTATTGTGAAGATCAAAGATGATTTTGATGGGCAGAAAGAATCTGTAGAGCTTACTACAAGGGATATTGTAAAATATGGGTTTTATCTAGCGCCAATTTGGTTTGTAACAGAGGTAAGAAACTAACTTTGTAAAATGTTATATTCAGTTTGACCAATGGTTTTTCAAACAAATCAAAACGTCAGTTGAATTATGGCTTTTTTTGCTTGACCATCCAAACAGAAAAGTAACGTTCTATGATGCAATATTGTCAATATGGTCTGACCATGTAACTGAGATAGGCTTGTTTCTCATAGGTCAATCGTAAGGAGTTAAACCACAAAACAGATGAGATGAGCCAGACTTATTTTCATATCCTTCATATCTCCTTATCATTTATGGCCGAATTTTACTTTTTTTATATCTATTTTTTTGGATTAGTTTGAATGTAGTGAGTATAACAATAATTTTATCCTTAACTAAGCTTTTATTCTTCTTAAAAGTAGGATCTTATGTCTGGATTTTTAGTAGTTGATATGGATTAGTGAAATTATGATGAATTCAATGAAGAATTCATGTAACACTAATTTTGGCTTCATAGTTTTTTCACCCTGAGGATGCGACAACATAATGTTTTTAGTATTCAAGATCAAAAAGTTGGGACTTACAGTTTGATTTCTTTTTTTTTTTTCTTCCTATTTCCTATTGATTTTAACAATTTTTCTGTGCATGTTGTATTTAAATGCAAATAATGAGCGTGCTAATCAAGATGAACACAATCAGAGGGATTAAAAGGTTGAAATAACATGTGAAATAGAGATGATATGGTTATATTTTCCCTTTGAGGCCTACACTCAGAATTTGATTTAGTTTATGGGTGGTGATGGGTGTTTAGAGCGTTAAACTATTAAGATAATGTGTTTAAGGTCTATTCATTTTACAAAATATTTGTTTTCAATATAATTTTATTTTGGTGATAGGTTTGATCCACATGACTTGATAGACATGTAAAATGAAGGATCTTCAATCATTTTCCCTTGAAAAGGAGGGAGTTTGAAGTGAAAGTGAGTAAACATACGTAAAATTGCTAGTTTATTAATCACAACAGAACAATATCTGCTGTTAAATGGACCGGATAAGTACTCTGCTTTAACAACTAAGCATGGACTCCAAACAAAGTTTCTGTGCTTCCACTTTGAACTTTGGTTTTTATGGCCTTTATTGTCATCTGAGATGAGCTTTTCTTTTTATTAGAGAGTTCTGTTCAAAAGATAGCGCAATGGTGAAACAAACTTATATTATTTACCTCTAAAACGAGAGTTTTTGCTAAATTATTTTTTGTATTGGATGGGTGCAGTATCTATCAAATGCAGCACTTGCAAGGACTAGTGTCGCAAGTACAACAGTCCTATCATCTACCTCAGGTCTTTTTACTCTCTTTATTGGTGTGCTTCTTGGACAAGACTCCTTAAATGTTGCAAAATTAGTTGCCGTATTCATTAGCATGGCTGGAGTTGTTATGGCAACCCTAGGCAAGACGTGGGCCACAGATGAGTCTCAACTGAGCTCCACTGGGTGAGTTTCTTACTTTTTGTATATGTATTTTGCTGAATGCTGGCTTGTAGTTTGATTGTTGAAGTTTATGTCAACTTCAGCATGTAATAATCGTGCGGACCTTTCATAAATCTTTAGTTTAATTATATGCAGGAACGGAAAGAGGTCACTTGTTGGAGATCTTTTTGGTCTTCTTTCTGCTGTATCATATGGGCTATTTACTGGTTGGCATTACTCTTTACTCCATGACTTGTCTGTTTAAATCTCTGATTGGTCAAGTAACTATTATGCACTGTTATGAACTTTGCAGTTCTTCTAAAGAAGTTCTGTGGGGAGGAAGGCAAGAGAGTTGATGTTCAGAAGTTGTTTGGATATGTCGGATTGTTTACACTTGTTGCTCTATGGTGGCTTGGTAAGGCTGTTATCATACTTTCATCCATATGCTTTCTTTCTCTATGAATGAAACAGCGAAGTCATGCCACCATTTTCATATATTATAACATATATGATGGCTAAAATAGTTTATTTTTGGGTTTCATTATTCCTGTGGCTGTTTTTTTTTTTAACGTATTCCAGGAAGAAATATAAAGACATCTAGTTTTCTGTCAACATATGGAAATTGTCTTGAGTGGTTGCTACCTGCGTTTATCTTGGCTTTTGAAATTCGAAAATGGAAAATTCATCTGCTGGCCTCAGAAATGAGTTTTCCGTTATCATAATTTTCTTATTCCTTTTTGTAATAATTTTTTTATTCACTTTCATCGTGGATTAGAGACTACAAAGTGGAACTTACCTATTTCATGTATAGCTCATAGATGTCTGATTCGTTGCCTGATTTGACTGGGATGTATTTGGTTGACAAACATAAGAAGCATTATAGGATGTTCATGCTTTGCAGAACAGTTGATTGTGTAGGTTTTACTATGCCGAATTCACATGAATCTGAATATAAGTTCTATTTCATGATTCTTAACCCCAGTCATTTTGATAGTTGCTTTATGGTAATTCCTTTGGGTTCTTGAGTTTTCTTTGGACTGTGTGAATCCAATCAGTGAACCGGTCCACTTGATTCATACAAATTGAAAAGTCCTTGTTTTTTCTTCTTCGCATTTAATCTGATAGTTACTAATCAAATAAATGTATCACTCGATTTTTTTTTTCTATTTACTGTTCACTCTAACATTAATGCTTATTGGAAATAAATGCATTATAGATTAACAACCATTTTAGCAATACTTTGTGTCCCCCTATCTTTTATGGTACTGTTATTATTGTTTGTAACACAGCCACAGATGCTAAGAAAGCTCAAATGTTGAAAATTCAGTTGAGCTCAAATAAAATTTTGCTTTGGATGAGTTTCCTTTGAAAGAAAATTCAATCATGTAAAATAGTTTTATTTTATATTAATTATTTTCTAACTGAACTAGAGCCAAGCTTCGTTAGGTTGAATCATATTTGAGCTAGCTAAATACATGCGCAAACACAAATATATATGTATCATTCATTGATCATTCATTCTACTCATTGGGAGAGGGAGAGGGAGAGAGAAAGATGGACTTTTCTCTTTGGAAGAGAATGATCATTCTCTTTCAAAATTTAAATTTTATGCCCATTTTCTTTTATGGTCTTCAACCTCAAGATAAATACATTAATTATTACCCAAGACCTAAAAAATACTCCTGTGTCAAGTTTCATCAATTTTTATACAACAACAACAATAACATCAAGCCTTTATCCCACTACGTGTGGTCGGCTACATGAATCCTTTTTCTCCATTCATATTAAGAGTCAAATTCTCGTTTAGATTTAATAAAGAAAGGTCGTTTCTAATATTTTCTAACCAAGTTGATCAATTTTTATAAATAATTTAATTATTTGTATTGCATGTAAATAAAAAAAAAACGAAGAATGACTTAGTGGCATATAGAAACCCACTTTCACTGTCTAGTTTTATCCATGTATTTTGCCGATCAAAATTATGTAATAAACTTTAATTATTACAAATGATGAATGATCCATGTGCTTGATTCTTGATAATTTGAAGAACTCTTTGTATTAGGAGCTTTCTTATAATCCAATTAAAAAAATCCATTATGAAATCTTGTTTTTTTTTATTGGTGATGAAATAATCTTAGAATTTTTTTTTCTTATATACATGTGCATACATACTAGTGGTTTTAAAAATGCTCGCAACTTGCTCAATTTTTGTTGGCTCAAAATCTATTTCTACTTGATTTATGTTCAACATGAGCTCTTGTTTGGGATTCCAGTATGTTTGTTTTAAATTTTTTTCATATTAGATAAAGAAAATAATTGTTGGTTTAATGGTTGGTATTTTGCATTTCATGCAAATTTTAGGTTCAATTCCTCTCACCAACTCCTATGTTTTTCTCCAACTTGGAGTAAACTCAAATATTGATTGAGTTGTCCTTGAATTGAGTGATTGAATGGAATCAGATTGATTGAGAAGTAATTTAGTTTTTGAGTCAAGTAGCGTCTGCTTATTTTACATATAAGTTTTTTAACATCAAATCTTAGGAGGATTTGTTGTTATATTGTGTGGGCTCCGAAAATTCGGCCCCGGCCTCCACTCGCTTTTCTTATTCGGCGAGGGAGTTTTAACGAACGAGGAAGAGGGCTTATTTTAAGTGGGTGGGACCTAGCGTGTGAGGCGTACGCCTCTCCCAGAATTGCGCAATTGCGTCTCTGAGGCGCGCCTCAGTCTAGGTGAGGCGTACGCCTCATCCAGGTCCAGAATTGCGTAAGCCTCGAGGCGTTTTTTGGTTGAATTGCGCAAAGGCGCGCCTTGAGGCGCGCCTCTAATTGCGCAATTTTAAACCATGTTTTCAATTAATTTGTTAAAGTTAATATATATTTGAAATATATTAAATTAATTATTTACTTATTTAAATGTGGCCACTAAAAGAGAAGCATAAATTAAGTGTTGCAGAGATGAGGATTCTTAGTTGAGATGAGTGACTTTACGCTTAGAGACATAATGCAAAATGAGTATATACGTGAAAAGTTTGGAGTAGCTCCAATGAAGATAAGATTAGAGAGAGTTGCCTTAGAAGATTTGGTCACATAAAACGTTGGCCTTCTGATAACTCAGTTAGGTGAGTAGATATATTAGATCTTGCCTATGCTAAGAAAGGTAGACCTAGAACTAAAAAGACGGTTACAAAATATTAGAAATGTTTTTTTTTTTTTATATTAGATTCAAATGAGAATTTGACTCTTAATATGACACAATGAAGAAAAAGAATTTACTTAGCCAATCATACTAGTGGGATAAGGGATTGATGTTGTAATTATTTAAATAACTCATTGAACTAGCCAGTTAAATGGAATCGGAACCGGTTCACCGGTTGAACCAATGGTTTTGATTAGTTTGCTCCGGTTCACTGCCAGAGCGGGTTTTATAATGGATCAGCCTAGTCATAGGATCGATTCACGGTTGAACCCGGCTGATGTGGTCCAATTTTTAAAAGCTTGGTTTAGAGAGCTGGGATTTTCAAGCAATGAGCAATTGTAAAAAAGTTTTTCTTGGATGGGCTAAGCATGAACTTGGATTCAAGACTTGCGGGTGAAATTTTGCTTTTTCCGGATACGTCAACTTGATTGAATTAATCTAAACCTGAGCTAAGCTTAGTTTACTGAGGTTTGGCTCATTGAAAGCCCTCCTAACATACACCTACTCAGCCTGCACGTGACTGCACTTAATGGAACTTGGAAAAAGTTCATCAATTAATACTGCCACAACATGTATTGGTGTTTGTAACTCCTCTGTAATGCACTCTGTAACCTGCGCTCTTTAGTCAACTAGTACCTTGTTGCGTGGCATATATGTTCATATTTTTTTTTTCTAGCATAGAATTTGTATGGTGTTCAAGTAAAAGCAGACTATCTTATAACGTTATCATCTTAAACATTTGGAGAACTTTGTTTTTGTTGCATTTTATCAGATGTGCTAGTTTGCAAATGGGTTTTTATGTCTGTACATAAACTACCAAAATTTGTATTCAGTTTATGGTGCAAGTGTTTTTCTTTCAAATGCTTTTCATTTATGTCGTAACACTATCTCCTCTCAAGCTGCTTTCCTCTTGAACTTGTGCTTTAAAGTTGCTTTTCATTTTGAAGTGTTTCCATGAAATATGCTGTATGCTTTAAAATAACAACTTTCATGGGAGTAGCAAAAAAAAAAAACTTGCTTAATTCTTCGAAACAAAGATTCTAGAGTAAATGCAGTTGAGTTATTTGCTTTAAAGTTATTTTGTTTTAAATTACTTCCATGAAATACGCTGCTTGCTTTGAAATAATAACTTTAATGTGATTGAGTAGTATAAAATGCTTGCTTAATTCCTTAAAACAAGATTCATAATTTTTAGAGTTGAGTCTAAGGGTGTCGATTTCGAGTCACAGGTCGAGTTCGGATCGAACCCAGAACTGACCCGATACTATTCTGGTTCGGTTCAACCCCCGTTTTTGCAAGCGGGTCGGTTTTCCGGACCCAAACCCGACCCACTTCTGGTTCGGGTCAACCCAAACCCAAATTTTTCGGTTCGGGTTAGGTCGGGTCCAATATTGACAGTCCTAGTTGAGTCCCTTTTTGGCATTTTCAGTCAGTTAAATTTGAGCTATATCTGGTATTTTTCTAATCGAGGAGCAATTTCTTAGCTATCTGCTTACACACCGTTTCTGTTTTGCAGTGTGGCCGCTTACTGCATTAGGAATTGAGCCCAAGTTTACAATTCCTCACTCTGCTAAAATGGAAGAAGTTGTACTTGCCAATGGCTTTGTGGGAAGTGTGCTCTCGGACTACTTTTGGTATCGTTGAAACCACTTTGCATTTTCCCCTTTCCCATTCATCTTCATTTTCTTACAGTTTCTGGTATTGTATAGGGCTTTGTGTGTTGTATGGACCACTCCTCTTGTAGCCACCTTAGGCATGTCACTTACAATACCGCTTGCTATGGTTGCTGATATGGTGATACATGGCCGTCATTATTCAGCTGTGTATGTTCTTGGTTCAGCTCAGGTAAGCATCATATATGATGACTTTTCTTATGTTTTTCTTAGTGGATGCATGTAAATGTTTCTTTTGATTCTCAAGCAAAACCTACATGCAAATCTTGATATGGAGTGCACCAATATACGTAAATATTCATTTTATTATATTGGTAATTGAACAATTCAAAGTTACAAAAGGTAATTTAATAGCATGGAATAGTCACAATTTAGTTTCAGATGATAGTTAAAGGCTTCCTTATCTTAACCTTATTTTTTGTTTCCATTTTTGTTATTTTGAAAGGATTAATAAGGACAAAAGTGGATCGAACATAATATGGATCCATAATGCATATTATCTTCTGCCTTGTTTAGCATCTGATTGACTTGATCCTAATAACCTCTTAAACGAGTTAGATCGAGGTTTGGATGAGTTGAGTGGGTAGTTTTTTTGGCTATAAGATTGACCTTCACCTGTATTGAGATTATACTATATGGCGCCCCAAGGTGTCTCAACTTGTCCCGGAAGCTCAAGTTAATGAGACAGGAATAGACGGTCGGATAGATATCATAGTTCTTTCAATAATAATAATTGCTCAATAACTAAATGTTTAAATGTAACCGAAGTGCTGCTAAAATAATTTATAATCTAAACATACTATAAAGAGTGCTTATTTATTTTCAATTGATCATCTTTTTCTATACCCGAAACCTTCTTGATCAGTCATTTAATCAATATGAGATTTATCTAAAAGTTTTATTTTAATAAATTAAGTTTTCGTTAATAATTCAGTGGTCAATTATAGTTTATAATATAACAATAAGCATACATAACTTATCATGGCAATAGTGGAGTTGCTGTTGCAGCATCTTAGTCATTCAATCTACTTTTGATGATTGAGATTGAATCTTTCTCTAAATTATTCTGATTTTTATGAATTAAATCCTAGTCTTTCAAAATGAGTTGGCTGATTGACACTATACAACTGCACCTCTGTAGTTACCATGACAACTATAGAGGTTCTGCACGCTATCCATTTAGCAGCGGGCCCATGACTTTTGCTTAAAGCAACGAGATACACTCTCCTCACCTGGTTTCTGTATATTTTTTTGAGGCAGAAAGCTGCATAGTTGTTCTACAAAGCTGATCAAAGTAGACTTTCAAAGAGAAATGAAAATTAAACATCTGATTCAGTCCAAAGATTTCTTGGCTTCACTTACCCATAAGCAAAACTTTCTTTTCTATTTCTTTGTTTGAACAATCAAAGAGATAGTCTTTCTCATTCTTCTTCTTGTTCTGGTACTTTTAATATGAATATTATAAAAATGTATTACCATTCAGACAATTAATTCCATTAGGGACTGGCAGGCCGTAAAGGACACAGGACCAGCTAAGACTTTTTTTTTTGGTTAACTCTTTCTTTCAAACCATTTGAAATTTTGTGGCATGCAATTTACATCAATTACAGCTCTAATATTTTCTTGCATGGTACAATCATAAAAATATTTTCGGGAATTTACATCCATACCATTTTATTTCATGTTATTACATATCTAACACCCAAAATATTAATATTACATTCTTATCACCCATAGAATAAATTTTGGTGCATGGAATGAAATATTAAAGTCTATAGGATAGTATGAAAGGTAGAAATGAATTATAGGAGTGATATATTTAATATTAAAGTTGTATATGGGTAGTAGACATGTAATATTAATATTTTGGGTGTTAGATATGTAAATAATATGAAATAAAGTCATATTTATATAAATTTCTTAAATATTTTTCGTTCGATCAAAGTCGAGCATTATTAAATTTAATATTAATTTATATGGAAATAGATTAACATAGGGTTTGGAACAGTTTTAGCCACTATTTTTTTCCGCGTTTAATAGATTTTTGTACTAAAAAGTAGCTTCCAAATGAAATACCGAAGCATTACCTTTAATATGAGCATCTGATCTACGCCGTTTGGTTTTCCTTGTACAGGTATTTGCAGGTTTTGTAATAGCTAACATTTCAGATAGAATATACAGGATGCTGGGATTGTAGCGCTCCTGAAACTTATTGATTCATTCATTTCCAGAAAGTATGGGATCCATAATGATTTTTTTTCCTACTCTTCTTTAGATTTTTATCTTTTGCAGCAGGTTTGATATAGTATGATTCCTCTGTACCATCAGTGTTGTTAAATGTCAATGTTAAGTGTGTATAGCTTCATTTTTTTTTTTAACCACAGACTGAGTTACTGTTCTTTGGAGGTTTTGATTTTGATATGTTTTAAGAAATTTCTATGATTTTTTTAGTGCTTTCAAAAGCTTTGCTTTGTTAATACAGATTACTCATGCTTATTTTAAGTTGCGAAAAAAAATTGTAAGAATATTTTAAGTTTAATTTTACTCAATGGTCTTTAAACATTTCTCTAATTCGATATGTAGGTCTGCAAATGAACCGATATGCTTGATAAGATGCTCGTTGCTAAGTTCAATTCGAATAAGTTTATGATTTCTTAATTAACCAATAAAGCAAACTTAAACATATTTATAAATAATTGGTTGATAAATGAACAAGCTAATAAATAATATTATCATTTAAAGCTCATGAACAAATTCGTTAAGCAGCTTCATTAATTTTGATAATATGCTTATTTAAGACCCGATTATATATTCATTAACTTAAGCTCAAATATTTCACAAATGAGCTTAAACTCAAATAAGTTCTTACTCAACCAACTCCATTCATTCGCAACCCTAACTCTATGATATTCATTGAAGTTTTTCTTATTCATTTTTTAATAAATTTTCCATACATTTTTTTTTTACATTCTAACTACATCTAAACCTCTTAAAATTTTTTAGATATCAAATGATATTAAATTCTTTTTTTTTTCTATACAATTTATTATTGAATAATGCCAAAAACATTTAGATTTAGAAAAATTCAATTATAATAATTCAATTTTATTTGCACGTTAACAATAAAGTTATATAATTAAAAAAAATATGAACTTGCAAAGCCTTGACTTGGATTTATTATTCTATGCGGAGTATGGACGGTGCCCAGAGACTAATAAAAATGCACAATGTCACCTCAAAAATTGTACTGTGACCGCGCTCGGTACTGAGCGTGTAACCGGATGGGAGAACCGTCCGGTATCCGCATAGAATAATAGATCCTTGACTTGAAGAGATTATTGGCTTTGGATACCGGACAAAGCTTACCGTTCGGTACTTCATAGTACCGAGTAATACTGAACTCGGTACTGTGAAGTACTGAGTTTGGTACTTCATGAGCATTACCAAGCTCCATACTGTGAAATATTGAGCTAAGTACCGAATAAGAGATGATGTGGCATGTTTTTATTGAGCTCCGGATGTCATCCAGTGTTCAAACCCAATAATTTTCCCTTTGACTTGAGCCACCATGCCTTTGAAAATTGGATTTAGGGTCACGATCGTGTCGAAGGCTTTGACCCGATAATTTCCGTAAGGTTCCAGTTGACCTAACAACACGAAAACCGCACTCGAAAGAAACGCCGAATCTGCCCAATGAGACCACCTATTTCTCTGTCCGCGCCGTCCCACCTGCCCCAAGATCGGAAATGGAGATGAGCCAACACCACCACCCAGATTCGCTGTTGAATGTTATGAATGCCGATCGGCGAAGGAAGCCCTACTCCAATCCCTCATCTTCCACGCACTCAAGTAAAGCCTCACTAATCATGGCCTTCATCTCTTGCCTGGCCTGGCTGTATGTTGCTGGCCGGTGATTTCCCCTTCCCTTTCCTTCGAATGGTTTTGTTGATTGTTTTCATTTTTATTTTCTTGACCTAAAGATTGTATTTTTCTATCAATTCTTTGCCAGATTGTGGCAGGACGCTGGGAACCGAGCTTTACTCTCCAATCTCCTTCAGAAAAGCTCTCGCAATGTTTTAATATTTTCCTTATATTTATTCTTCATAACTTTAATTTTTTTGGACTTATAGGGAGTTACGCCTGATCCCATACATTAACTTCTTGCAGCTTCCGAGGGTTGTTACGGTAGAGGACAAGTTGATGGACCTTGGATGCAAGTAATCCCTGTTAAAAATTTTCCGCAGTTGATACTTTTTAGTTCCGTTTAAGCTGTCAGAGTTTGAATTTTTTGTCGTCTTTTTTTTTTTCCAGGGAGATTGGAAGAAAGATTGTGGAGGCTGAGATGGATTTGACGTTAGCGAAGAGCCAGGGTTACTTGAGGCATAATAGCTCCTCTTCAGATCGGAGGCTTCTAGCTGTCATTGGAGCTTATACTGGATTTGGGAGTCGACTCAACCGTAAAAGGTTCCGAGCCTCCTGGATGCCGAGAGGTGGTTTTTAAGTTTCTTAATCATTGGGCTGTTTAGTTCAGTATTGTTCAGATGTCAGAAGTCAATATTATCTGTAAAAGAATGTGTTTTTTATTCATATTTTTATAAATTTGTTATTTAGAAATGTCACCAAATCAAACAACTAATAGCTCTTAATAATATGATGTAACATTGAGATGTTTATGAACCAAACAAAGCCATAATTATATGTGTTCATATCTTTGATATGTTTTCTGAACAGTCCTAGTTGTGAAAGGCTGAAAGCTTTCATCCATGTTATATTTCCCAATTCAAGCCTTTGTTATTTTCTATGGGTGTTTTCTCTGCATTAGTATCCATCCTTGGTCTACCACCAATTCCCAGCCAAATTGATATTGATCAGATCATGATAGATGAGATTATGATTGGACCATTTGGAGTTCATTGGTTTGGTTGTCCACCACATATTGCATGGATGACATTTGAAGAACCTTTTTTATGTCCCCCAACAATCTAGATGAGCACCAAAGTGTCATTCATTCTAGAGGGGTATTCTCTTCACCTTTAAAGACTTGATGGAGGCCATGAGAACTTTCATCATTACCATCGATTTCCTACTCTATAACGTATTAGACTATGTTATTAGTTTATAATTATTTCTTTGGTTTGCTTTCTTTTAGTTTAAATAAATAATTGTTAATTCATTATCTAAGTCATGATATTTCTATAAACGGCCATTTAGTCCGTCATTTCATTGATTGAATGATGAATGATCTTTCCTCTTGTTTTTTAGCATCAATTTCTTGTTAAGGTGTATAAATGGTCTTTCTTTATTCTAGGCTCACACCTTCATTAGGAAAAAAGTCCAAAATAGTCCTCTGATTATTCACATGTGGTTAGTTAGTTCCAGAACATCACATTTCTCTAATTTAGTTCATCGATTATATAAAATTGATCCGAAATGGTCTCATTGGTAGAATTTGATGGAAATTGGAATTCAAAATTAATTCTAATTTAGTTTATTCTGATCAATTTTATACAGTAAAGCTTAAATTGGAGAAATGTGATATTCTAGGTGTAAATTGTGACTCGTATGAATAGTCTGAGGACTATTTTGGACTTTTATCCCCTTAGGCTTCGTTTGGTTATTAGGTACTTTTGTAAAAGTCAGTTTTAAGAAACAATGGTTCAGAAAAAGGAGTTTTCTAACGGAGAAAGCACATATAAAAAGCTTTCTCAAAACAGCAGAAAAATGAAAAAAAAATGGAGTTATTGGGGACGTGGTTTGAGAAACCAAACAGTAAAGAAAAAATAACTTTACCATTTTAAAAAGGAATAAGCACAAAAAACTTCCAATCAAACTAGGCCTTAATAAGCATGCAAACTGACCTTTTCGCAGCCTCCTAGTGCAAAGTATTTTGTTTTTACAAGAACGTGAACATTCTTAGTTGTTAATTTAGTTTGATGTCTTAGTTTTCTTTATTCTTTGAGTGTACTGTTTTATTTATCAAACAATATACTTGCGCCTACTTGCAGGTGATGACTTGAAAAAGCTTGAGGAGAGCGGTGTGGTTCTGCGTTTTGTAATTGGTCGGAGGTTTTGTGATGCTTAAACTCCACTTTTTATGCCTATTACATTGATTTGGAATGTTGTGATTTCAGTAATCATTTTCTTTCTGTCCAATTGACGGCTATTTCTCTCTAATTTTAACTAATTTTTTTAATGAATTTGCAGTCCTAATAGAGGTGATAGCCTGGATCGTAACATTGACAATGAAAATCTTAAGACAAAAGATTTCTTGATTCTTGTAAGTAGTGTGGGGTGAGCTATCAAAAAGATGTTCTTGAAGCTACATGGTTAATTGTTTCCTGCTTTCACTTTTTTAGGATGAAAAAATAACTAAACTTTCTTCATAATGCTAATGAATTGGAGAATTTGAATTATTTATTTTTATTATGTTACTTGAATACATTTGAAATTGTCTTTTTGTTACATAAACTTTATTACTAGTTCTTTGTTTTTTGAGATTTAATGAGGAAGCTTTCATTTTTTATGAAAGCCAAAAAATAATAAATTCAATTTAGATGAAAAATTCATAGCCTTCTATAAGAAATGAACGCTGAGAATTATGAACCTTATATTATATCATATGCTTGTAAGATATTATGATAGAACATTAAGCTTTGATTGCTAATTTGTTGTAGGATGGTTTAGGTAAAGTAGATCTAACAGGTAACGTAGCAAATAATGCAGTAAACACAAAATTGCAGCTAAAAAACTTGTAATCCAAAATTATTCACAACTGATTAAAACTGAAAAACAGTAAAAAGAATGGAAGAAGTGTGGAAGCGTCGAGCAGCCCCCTCGCTATTTAACGACGATTTGGGCTTTCGATCGAGGCGATTGCGGGATTTGGGCAGGATTCGCGGAGAAGAGACGCACGCGGCGCTGCACAGCGGGATTTCAGCTGGATTCCGGGGATTTACGGCAGCGTCTCGGCAGATTTCGTGGATCCGTCGGTCTACAGGTTAGCTGAATTTTTTTGTTTCTTTTGGTTTTTACATGAGGGTTAACAGTAGCAAATAATGCAGTAAACACAAAATTGCAGCTAAAAAACTGTTAATCCAAAATTATTCACTACTGATGAAAACTGAAAAACAGTAAAAACTAATTTAGACAAAAGATCCATGGCCTTAGATACTGGCAATGGTTGCTACGGATCATGAAAGCTATGCATATTAGTAAAACTTCATGCCATCAATAGAAATCCAAATTGTAGCAAATATGATTGGACACAGTCTTACTTCAATAAATAATACAAAGTGTAAAAGAAGAAAAAAATAAGAGAAGAAAAGAAGGAAAAGATTTCGTCTGAAAAGCAAGCACTACATATACCAGGAGATGATCTCTTAAAAAATTGGAACCTCATGTCTAATCAAGGATCAAACTTCCAAAATAGAGGAGAATGAAGAGTCTCTATATTCACAAGAAGAGTTTTATTCATGCAATAAGTTATCTTTCATAAAATTTCTACATTTATAAGTGGGAGAAATAATAAATTATATAAATTTCAAACAAACTACTAATAAATTGCTAACAGATAGATAGCAAATTTCTAATAATCTCAAAACAGACCATTAACAATCGTTGACAAACTTAATGACAAACTAGAATAATCCTAAAAATGATAAATTTAAACTATATAAAATAAATCAAATTTTCACGAGAAAATAAAATTCAAATTTATCCTCGTCATTTATAATTATTTTACATTTCTCTCGATGGCTTCTAGGATAGCCATGAAGAAGCTGGTGAGGAGTTGCCCAAAAAGGTTAAATTCTTTTTCAGCGCAGCTGTTGAAAGATGGAATGCAGATTTCTATGTTAAAGTTGATGATGATATAAACATTGATATAAGTAAGACATTTATCCTTGTTTGTCTCTAAATTAAGAATAAATTCAATACTGGCTTTCTCAATGTTGAATGTTGTCTCACATTGTCCCTCTCTCTTTATGGCTTAATAGATGGACTCATTGAAATCCTAAAAAGCCATCATGATAGACATGGTGCGTATTTGGGATGCATGAAGTCTGGTGCTGTAGTAAATGAGGAGTAAATTCCTAACTCTTGAAGTATTACTTTATTAATCCATTCATGTAGGCATTTACTTTTATTGCCTCTAGGAACAAAATTATAGAACTTTTATATACCCTCTACATTGGCAAAAATTATGCTATTAAGCTACTTCTAATATTTCATATAACATATTTTTTTCTCTTATTGTTGTTGATTGCTTTAAGCGTGTCATGCAGCGCTTCCTGCAAAATGCAATAATTTTTTTAATGCCAAGTAGCCATATTATTCCATGTTTATGATCAATTTTATGTTTTTTGCAGGGGAAAACCATGGTATGAACCTGACTGGTGGAAATTTGGTGATGACAAGTCGTGAGTAGCTGTTATAGATGTTATTTTACTGTTCAGTGTTTTTTATTTTATGCCTCTTCTCTCTTTGCCTTACTCATGCCTTTTATTTAAATAATTTTTTTCAATTCGACTGGTTATATATTTTCATGCCTTCTCTAACACCCATCAGAATTCCAGTTTGACTGAATATTTTGATCTTATTAGCTTAAGCTCCGATCAAGTGGTAACGTAGTAGTACATAGAAAATACACTTAGCTTTTATTTTTTTTCAACATTTTAAAGCCTTTTGTTAAGCTTCAATTAGGGACTTTATATTCTTTGAAATGGCCTAAATTGTACCAAGTGATTCCTCTATATACTTGTAACAGATGCTTGAATATGTGCATTGTAGCATCACTGTGTAATCATTCGGCTCCCTGCTTGTTCTTGCTGCTAGGATACATTGACCTTTATATTCTTTTTAATGTTGATATAACCTTCCAATCTTCCTTTTATAGATACTTTCGACATGCGGCTGGTTCTATAATCATTTTATCAAACAGCTTGGCACATTATGTCAACGTAAACAGGTAAGTTTGAAATATCTTTGCTCCGAGCATCTACTATGCAGAAAATTACTCGTCACTATACCAACGAGATCAAGCTAGCTCGGAAGATATGCTCTAGTTTCAGAGTTTTAAATTTCTGATTGCATGGAGTTCATGAATCTGCAACTGATATTGCGCCTTATAGTTAATTAAACCATCTAGCGTAGATTTCTATTTAAAAAAAAAGAATCCCAAGCATCTTATTAAGCAGAAAATTACTCTTCACTGTGCCAATAAGCTCTAGCTCAATCGATTTGCTCTTAGTTTCAGGGTAGATATCAAATTTGTGTCTGCTCAGTATGCCTTATTTTCGAGAAATTATTCTGTGCGGAGGCCGGATGCAGAACACCATCCGGGAGACCAACCAGAATGTGCCACGACAGTGGTACTGAGCCGCAATACCGAGCGGTACCGAGCGAAAGGGTGACGTCGCACATTTTGGTTGATCTCCGGATGACGTTCGGCGTCCGCACATAATAATTAATCCGTATTTTCTATCCTTAAAATGAAAATTACTCTTCGCTGTAATTGTGCCGACAGTTCAAAAGTACATAAAGCAATTTACTCCACAGAATAATTAAGATATCGCCATTTTTCCCCTTAAACAGCGCTTCATTAAAATCTTATGCTCATGATGACATCTCTGTGGGTTCATGGATTATGGGTCTTGATGCGAGCTATGTTGATGATGACCGGCTTTGTTGCAGCAGCTCCAGACAAGGTAGCCATTTTTAATGTGCTTATCAGACTATTTTCTTTTCTATTCCATCAAAATTGAAATAGCTTGTATTTCTTTCCTGAATTTCTACTAGCCACATGATCAATACTCTGGTTATACAAATTCTGTTATTTATTTATTTCAGAGAAAGTCTGCTCAAGGGCTTGAGCAATAGGTTTGGATTTGAAAGCTTTAGATGCCCAATGGTCTTGAGTCTTGTCAGAGACAAGAGCTACAGCTGCAGAGAAGAAAAGATTTCATGTTAGAGCATTTGTGAACCAGGCAAGATTTTATAAATTTAGTTTGATACTTAAATGTGTAGAAATATTGGCTTAGTATTACATGCGTTGATTTTTCAATGAATCACAGTGCAGGATATGTTCTTTCATGTTCTATCTTTTTCTTGGCTTCACTGTTTCGTTTTTTTTTTCATTGAAGTTAGCTGTCTTGGTATGTGAAATTTAGGCTTCGTTTGGGATGGCTTTCATACTGCTTCTTAAAGCAGCTTTTTAGTACATTTTAGAAAGCTGCTTTAAGAAGCCATATGAAAGCCATCCCAAATGAAACCTTAATCATTTTATTTGAGAACAGTTTTTCAACAGAATTAATTTTGGAGCAAAAGCTGCCATTTTTCAATTGCGCTCGATTGAATGATGAAACTAACAAATTTCTTTATTTTTTTCACCCAAAACATTTATCTATGTTCCATCTTGTTCAAGCAATCAAATGGGGCATCAGCCAATTTTTAAGGAGAAAATTTAAAACAGAGCTTTGATTTAACCTTGGTTTCCTTATAATTGTGTTTTTAGCCCACTAAAATTTTATTTGGGATAACTTTTTTACTGCTTCGTTTTAAACATTGTAATCATAGTATTTATTTGATCATTATTTCTTCACTGTTTTCAATTAATTTTTGTGTTAGGAAGTTGTTTTTACAGTAGCTTTTAAAGAAGTTGTTTTCTTCACAGCAGCTTTATAATTATGTTTATAAAAAGTTGTAGTTGTTTCAAACGGTTTGGTCGAGTCTATTGCTCGTGTGCGCAGTAGTTTTATGTTTTTTTAGAATGCTTGTTGTTCTCGTACGGGGTTCCTCTGACCTTCGACGTTTTACAAGTTCACTTCCTTTGTATTTGAATGATGCTACGATTTCAATTCTACCTTCCAACTTGGATAACTATTGTGCACTATTTTTTTTCACTATGATCCAATATCAACTCCTCATAAACTCTTTCTACTTATCAGAGCAGACATGCTCTCATCTTCACTGTATTTATGGTGATAGAGAAATATGAATTTTAACGTCCTAGTTTTATATGAAGATCCGTCACACAAAAAGATGAAAGATAGGAATGTAGCGTTCATAAGAGACACTAAGATTTTTATGTGAAAACTCCTGAGAAGGGGGAAAATCAGGAGGCTTTGCCCAGTTTAAACGAATCCATTAATGTTTGTAGTTAATTATAAATGAGGCACTTCCTTCAGGAGAAGGTCTTGGCTCGATGTAGCAAATATACATTATATAGAGTGCATTGCAGGGTGGAAGCTAGAAGAATTAGTGTTGATATGTTCATTTTGTCAGCAAAATCATAGTCGGTTAACGATGTAGGTCAGAAGGACTGTAGTTAGAGAGTGATGTAGATTGGAAGGACCATAGTCAGGCGATAGTGGTTATAAAGACCATAGTTTGCGGGTGATAGAGGTCGAAAAGATCATAGTTAGGTGATGGTGGTCGAAAGGATCGTAGTCGGTAGGCAACAAAAGTCAAAAAGAATATTGTCTGGTAACAGTGGTCGAAAGGACCGTAGTCCAACGACTGTGGTCAGGGAGACCATAGTTTGGAGATGGTAGTCGGATGGAACGTAGTTAGACGACGGCGGTTGGGAAGACTGTAGTCTGGAGATGGTGGTCAAAGAAACCATAATCGGCGGGCGACAGAGGTCGGGAAGACAGTTGTCGGGTAATGATGGTCGGGAGGACTGTAGTCAACAGGTTATGGAGGTTGGAAAGATCATAGCTAGGGACGATGGTTGGAAGGATCGTTGTTAGCGGGCGACGGAGGTCGAAAAGACCGTAGCCGGGTGAAGGTGGTCAGCAGGACCGTAGTTAATAGGCGAAGGAGGTTAGAAACATCGTTGTCTGGTGATGGTCGATGGTCGGGCGTGAGTTTGGAGTTAATTGGTGACTGGGAGGAAGTCCGACGACAATCAGTGGCCGAGGGTAAGTCCAACGATAGTTGGTGGCCGGGTTGAAGTTCGGTGAAAGTCTGGTGACGATCGGTGGCCAGGCAATGGTCGAGGAAAAGCTTAGTGGTAAGAAAGATCTCAAATTTCTCTTCTTTCTTCCTCTTCGTCTGCCTTCCTTTCTTGGTCCCTCTCTTGTGAAAAATGAGGGGTTTATTTATAATTTTTTGGGAGTGACATGGCCAATAAATATGAAGAAGATCAAGGGCATGTTGGGAGTGTTTTGGATGGAATGCTGATATCACTCTTTTCATCATGGATCATTTATCAAGTATTTAAGTGCCTTAATGATGTTGGAATTCAGAGATCTTGGGTTTTTTTTGGATTCATCTCATCGAGTGAGAGTCGCTCGATTCGACTATAACTATGTCCATTTAGAAATCATTTAGTTGTCCAATTATGACTTGAACCTTCTAAATGTGCTTCGGGTCCTTGATTTGGAATCATTTGGGTCATATTAGGTCAAATTAGGCGTCGTTGTGTTCATCTTTTTGAGACGTTTAGTTCGACTATAAATTTGCTAAAATTGGAGTTTGGATGGCTCCAGATTTAATTTCGAAAGTTTTCCATCTAAATTTGCTATGAGATTCATGCCGATAAATTTTTTTTTAATGATATTTCATATCTCATGATTAATTATTCTTGTTTACAAAATAAACTATTATTCTTGCTATTAAATTTTAGAACTATTTATTACTTTTTAATAAAAAAACAAGCAATTAAAAAATCTATACAAATCTTTTTTCATTTTCCGAAATTATGATGAAATTAAATCCCAACTGTTTAATATAGATAAGCTCAATTATTATGATAATAGGAGAGAATCCTTATTATTAATTTTTTTATTCTTTCCTATTAGCATTTTTTTAAAAAATTTTGATGTCGCCAAAAAAAAAATCATCTTTATTGGGTATGAATCTCGGTGCAAGGATGTATCAAAAACTTCAAAAATTAAATTCATGATCATCTAAATTCCTATTTCAGCAAATTTATAGTTAATTGAATATCTAAGGAAGACGAGCCCAATGACATCAAATTCAAGTCCAAATCAAAAGATCAAAACATACTTAAAAGCTTTAAAGCATCATTTGGATGATCAAATGATATTTGAATAGGACATGCTTATAGTCGAATTGAGCGGCTTGATGAGACAAATCCAACGAGCCCAAAATCGCTTGATTTCAGCATCGTTTTGACACATCAATGTTCAAAGAGCGCTCTATGATTAGGGAACAAATATAATCCATTCGCTGAAATACTCCAAACTTGCTCTTGATATTCTCAATGTTTACTAGACATGTCACTCCTAAAAAATTATAAATAGATCCTCATTTCTTCTCATGAGAGTAGGAAGAGAGGAGAAAATTTAGGAGCACTCTTGCATTTTCCGGTCAACACTGCCACCGTCGGATCTCTTTATGATCACCAACTGTCATCGAACTTTTGTTTGTTCGTTGGCCGCCGCCAAATCTCTTCCTGGCCACAAACCGTTGTTAGACTTCCGCTTGTTGATTGCCATTGGATCTCTTCCCGACCACCAACCATTGTCAAATTTTCGTCTATTATGTGGTCACTTTCGAATCTCTAAATGTCATTAGACTTTCACTCATCCACTGATTATCACCAGATCTTCAACCATCGCCAAACCTCTGATGAACATTCTCCCGATTGTTGTCACTAGATGTCTAATATCTATCTTTCAATCAAGATCTGAGTACTCATCTAAAACTTGGTCAATTCTCATATATATATTTTATTATTAATGTTCTTGAGTCAACCTTTATAACATGTTCAAGCACTATTAGAATCATTTCAACTAGCTAAAACCCAATAATTTTTCTCTTTTAGACGTAAAACCCTTGCTTTCCACTGCCACGAGTCTCTCAGCCCGCAACAATTTTTTATATAAAAAATAAAATAAAATAAAATAAAAACTAAAAAAATGATAATATGGGAGAATCCAAATCCGTGATATATAAACCAGCATAACATGACACATTAGAATTATTGCAACAAATCATTAAACACTGGCAAGTGAGCCTTTTATTTTCAATGTCGGGCTATTTCTGATACAAATTATATTAGTATGAGCTTCAAAATAATTTAATTCACTTTAAAATTAGTGCAATACAAAATCTTCTTATATGGTACTAATCTTAAAATAAATTTAATCATTTTCAAGAAAATCCAACAACAAATATATTTGAATATCTTAACATAATTTTTGCCAATAATAAACACCGATTGCTTGAATAATTGTTTGATTTGGCATAGAAAGAGGGCCTCAGCTTATTCCTCAAAGCACCAAAACAGAATAAACTATGAATCTGGAACCTTCATGTTCAAAAGGCTTCTCTCTAATCCCTTCAAAATCAAGAACATTTAAGACATTTTATTAATTAGCTATAAATCTAGCTGGACTGACTTATGGACATTGGAATATGATATATGCTTACATATGTATGTCACTACAATGAAATTTAGGTCATCGGCCATGACTTCCGTCGGCGTAATCTTTTTTGAACTTTACATTACAACTCCAAAGTATTATCTTTACATTGCATTTCATTTTTAGTCAATCAAATGACCCCTATTTAGTTAGAAGCAATTAATGTAGTTTTAAGTTCAGAGATGATGACGGTTGTCAGTGACAGGTGGTGGCGGTTGCAGCTGCCGCTGCTGGGTGGAGATCGTCGGCGACGAGTGGCGGCAGTTGATGGTGGTTGTAGCCGACGGGTTACGGTGAGCATCGAATAGCAACAATAGCGATGAATAGTAATGGGCGATCGACCGCGATAGTGGGCGACAGTCAAACGAGCTTGCTTGTCATGTAAATAGTTCTCGCTCAAAGTTGAACGAGTTTATTTTACTTCAAAAATGATTTAAGATGATTTACACTACATTTACTTTACTTTGCATTCAACCAAACACTTTGATTTTTAGAATCTTACACTTAAAACTCTTTACACCACTTTATATTCCAACCAAATAAACTAAGTCAAAAAGTGCTACATACAATGGTGCTATTTTAAGTTCATCTAAAAAAAGCTTAACAAAATCTCAATGTATATTCTTAACTTACATTAAATTCTTAAAGAATTTTATTAGTTTATTATTATATGTAAATTATTGATAAGTAAATGAAAGAAATCTAAGTATTATTATTATTATTATTATTATGAGAGATTTACATATATATTATTTTATTTCATGTTATTTATATATTTAATTTTTAAAATTTTAATATTATATGTCTATTATCTATAAAATAAATATAATTGTATTGAATAAAATATTAAAAATTTATAAAATGTTATGATTGATACGACGCCTCCACCAACTGTTAATCCCTAAATGGAGGTCGAGGTCAAGTTCCGCCTCCCGGACGCCGCCGCCCATCAGCGTCTCTCCGACGCGCTTTATCCCTTCCACCTGCGTACCCACCTTCAAGAGAACCTCTTCTTCGACGGTGCCGACAGCGAGCTCTCAACCCACTTTGCCGTCTCCCGCATTCGCTTCTACGACGGCGATTCTCGTTGTGTTCTCTCGCTCAAAGCCCGCGCCAGCCTCGTCGACGGTGTCAGTCGCGTCGAAGAGGTCGAGGAGGACATCGACCCTGCTCTCGGCCGCGCCTGCGTCGCCGAACCCTGGCGTCTGGGTTCCCTTTCCGCATCATCGAGGATCATGGGGAGGGTCAAGGATGAGTTTGGGATTGGAGGGGAAGGGGAGGGGAAGAAAGGAAGTTCCTTTGTCTGTTTGGGAGGGTTTAGGAACGTGAGGGCCGTGTATGGGTGGAAGGAAGGGCTGACGTTGGAGCTCGATGAAACGAATTACGATTTTGGCACTAGTTATGAGCTAGAATGCGAGACTGGAGAGCCGGAGAAGGCCAAGGAAATGCTAGAGGGATTCTTGTTGGAGAAAGGGGTAGAGTATTCCTACTCGAAAGCTTCTAAGTTTGCGGTTTTCAGAGCTGGGAAGCTCCTTCCCTGAGTGAGTTCTTTTTAGTCTTATGTCCATGTTTTTTATAAAATCTTAATTTCTGGTTTGCTGGCCGTAATGTTTCAATGAGTATTGTGTATGGGGCAGTACTTTTGAGACATTGAATTGTTCTATATAATTGTTTGTAATGCATTATAGTTCATTGAATAATTACAAGTTAATTGAAGTCTCAAGGTGATCTCCAATTACCAGTGTTCTACTTAAGACCTTTTATTAGGAGAGGATATTCAATAAAGGGGGGTGTGATGTTTTGTAAACTTTTCAATGAAGATTGTGCAAATCCGATTGACTTTAGTTAGCTTAGCACCCTAGATGAAAATAAAGATTTTTTTTTTATCGACGTATTAATAAAATCGAAGTTAGAGAAGCTTTAAACAAAATGGAGTTTGGAAAAACTATTGAATCTGATGATATTCCAATGGAGATGTGAAAATACTTGGGAGATGAAGGAATTTCTTGGCATACAAAATTTTTCAATATTATTTTGAAGACTAAAAAGATGTCAGACGAGTGGAAAAGGAGTGTGTTAATTCTTATTTTTAAGAATAAAGGTGATGCACAAGAGTGTGTGAATTATAGAGGAATTAAATTAATGTATCATACTTTAAAACTTTGGGAGAGAGAGTTATTGAACATAGGTTATGATGTGATACTAATGTTAAATTATTTTGGATTCATGCTGAGTATATCTACTATAAAAGCTATACATTTATTGTGAGGTTTGATGGAAACGTATAAAGAGAATAAGGAGGATCTATATATGATATTTATTGATTTAGCAAAAATTTATGCTAAAGTTTTAGGAGAAGTGTTATAGAGAGTTAAAAAAAAGACTAATAATGCTTATAATCAAGTCATTAAGGATATGCATGCTGGAGCTGTTTCTTGTGTTTAAATACAAGAATGTTGGACCAAGTATTTTCCTATTTCAGTTGGATTACATCAATGATCGGCTCTAAGCACATATCTTTTTTGCTTTAGTCATGGATGTTCTTACTAGATATTTGCTGGAAGATGTACTCCGGTGTATGCTTTTTTTGCTGATGATATCATTTTTGTTGATAAGGCTAGAGAGGGAGTTGAATGTTAACTTGAATTATGGAGGTCAATCTTTGAGTTTAAATATTTTTGTTTGAGTAAATCTAAAAATGAATACATGGAATGTAATTTTAGTAGTAATAGATCTAATGGGGGATTGAGACTTTGGGCAATCAAGTCATTAATAAGAGTACGTGTTTTAGATATCTCGGGTCTTTTATTCAAAGTGACGGTAAAATAAATGGTTATATTATTAGTAGAATTCAAATTGGATGGTTGAAGTGGAGGAATCCATTGGGCCTGTTGTGTGATAAAAAAGTACCCCTCAAACTTAAGGGAATATTCTATAAGATGGTGGTGAGACTTACAATAATTTATGGCACATAATGTTAGCTGTTAAAATAGAAGCATACAATTAAGTTAAGTATTGCAGAGATGAGGATGCTCAGGTGGATAAATGGTTTTACTCTTAGAGATAGAATGAGAAATGAGGATATATGTGAAAAAGTTGGAGTAGCTCAATGGCAGATAAGGTTAGAGAGAGCCACTTTAGATGGTTTGGTCAAATAAAACTTCGGCATTTTGATGACCCAGTTAGAAGAGTAAATGTATTAGATTTGGTCTATGTTAAGAGAGGTAGAGGTATACCTAAAGAAATTTGGTTAGAAAATATTCGAAATGACCTTTTTTATTAGAATTAAATGAGAATTTGACTCTTAACATTACACAATGGAGAAAAATGATTCATATAGCTGACCCCACATAGTGGGATAAAGGCTTGATGTTGTTTGTATTTCTAGCCCATTCAGGCTATGTTGATGACCCTAGATAATATGTTGGGAATAGCCATGAAAGACTAACTCTTTGGATATTGTAAGTGATGGAGGTTGCGTAAAAGAAAACTCGACGTACAAAATATAAATCATGAGTGTACACTTTTGATCGCCTTCTTAGGTGTTTTTATAGGTAGTGGCCAAGTCGTGATGAGGGCACCCTCTCGCATAATCATATCCCTCGAGAAACTCTAGCGGGACCAACAAAGATCTTGCCCAAGGAGAACGTCGAGTGTTACTCGCCCAACGTTAGTGGGACCAATATATTTGTTAGCGTTAGAAAAGTTCTAACATAATCGGATGAAAATAGCATGCATGTCAAGAGGCTTTTCAATTTTTGGATGAGCAAATTGCATGAAAAAAGTCAGTTGGTGGCAAAAAATAAAATTTAGGAGGTTCAGATTACAAATAATCCTTACTATACTAAAAGCTTTAATTTTTTTTAGGCTCAACACTACACAGTTCCGCCCTTGGATGTTAATATTGCAGATTTGTGCGATCTTTTAGGTTATTTCACTGAATCCTATGAGAGATTGTATGTGATCTTTTCTTAAAGCTATGAATGCTCTTTCATAGAATCACCAGCCAAATATGGCTAAAAAATAACCTACCTGTAAGTTCTCATGCTTATAACTCTCGCAACAAATGAACTCCATAGTTCATATCCCTCTGCTATTTAGCACATTCGTAGCTCAAACTAGCAGTATACCTTTCTACTATCAAGGGCTGGTGTAGTTTGCAACTTCTCCAAGATCAACAAGGGGGTTCTAGTTGAAAATGAGCAGATAGTAATGGCCCTTTGAAGAATTTTTATTTCATTAGCTTTTATTTAAATGGACAATTAAATATCAAATTTAGAAGCTCGTGAACTTTCAATAAACTGTGCATTAGGTGATGTGGCGCGTTTGAATTAGCCTCCGAACGCATACGGACACCGCGCAGAATAATTTTTCCTCAAAGAGAGGAGAGGAAATTAACAAGCACAAAGGTGTGCAAAAGTAAGGCAAGTCTTAAGCTTTGTTTGGGATGGCTTTCTTACTACTTTATAAAGTTACTTTTTAGTAAAAAAATTCTTGAAAGGAAGAAAAAAATAATGATTCAAAGCCGTCCTAAATGAAACCTTAGATACATGAAGTTTATAAACTGTGAGAGGAGTTCTGATGCCGTTAGCTACCTTACAGATTCCATAAGCATTCCAACAGGATAAAGCAGAGTTCTATAGCTTAATCCAAAGAGATCATTCTTAACAAGTTTAAAAGCCCACGCCCATATTTTAAGAAGTTACAAGATTACCTTTGGGGTTCCACAGATGCTTTACAGTAGCTAAAAAAGTATCATAAAAGGGATTAATTATTCAGTGCGAATGTCGAATGTTGTCTGGAGACTAATCAGAATGCGCCACGTCATCCTTTCGCTCGGTACCGCAACTCGGTACTGCCGCTCGGTACCGCTGATGCAGTGCATTCTGATTGGTCTTCAGACGGCTTGTTGCGTCCATCCTCCGCACAGAATAATTTCTCCATAAAAGAGGCATTTCATGGTGATATAGCGCACCAAAGAGAACTCCAACCCTTCTCCATCAAGTGAAAAAGAGATTTCCTTCTTAGAAGAGCAAGAGAGGCAAATTGACTGATTTATTAGGTACATTTGTTAGAGAAAAGGCTATACAAGTTATTTCTTTCTTAGCATCGTTCTCAACTTCGTACTGTAATGCCGTTGTGACTGGAAAAAAAAAAAGAAAATTGGCTAAGAACATTCTGAACAAAATTTTATTTTGGATTTTTTAATTCTGTTTCTTTATTTTAAAATGAGTATAATATAGAATAAATTATTTAAATTTGATATTATATTTATTTTAAAATAAATTAATAAATTTAAAACTAATTAGAAATTTAAAAAATGATCATGATATTCTAAGTTATTTTGTTTTTGGCAATGTATAGCTGCTTCTTCCATGTTCTCTATCTTGAATCGAATACACATTGTTCATCTCAGTAATAATTATTATTGTGCTTATGAGATTAATGCTATATAATTTTTAATATTAATCTTAAAATAAATACAAGAATTTTAAGCCCATTTTGATATAAATTTTATCATTTTTTTTTCAAATGTAAAAGTTGAAATAAAATAGGGTAATTTACATACATATGATTGAAATAATGTATTTAATACATAAATTGTTATATTTATCTGAAACTTATCAAAATATAAATATGAAAAAAAAAATATTTCAGATATTAGAAACATGAATACATAAAAATTCAATGATAATGGTGTGCATGTACCTTAATAAGTTTTTTTTTTTTTTTTGGAAATTTATGTATATCATAAATAAATTTTTATCAAATAAAATATTAGAGAAGCCGGTTGCAAACAATTAAAATAAATTTTCTTTGAAGAACAAAATAATAAGCATAATCTTATAAATTAATTAGCTTTTATTATAACAAAAAATTGAAAACTTGATTTAACACATACAAATTTAAGAAATGAAAGACTATTGAGGCTTCATTTGGGACTGCTTTCTTACTACTTCTTAAAACAACTTTTTAATATAAAAATTTTAATTTTTATACTAAAAAATTACTTTAAAAAATAATAAAAAAACTGTCCCACACTGAGGCTGAAATAACTCTCACTGCAATTAAACTCCATAGTTCATATCCATCTTCTATTTAGCACAAGCCTAGCTCAAACTAGCAATTATACCTTTCAACTTATCAAAAGACGGGATAGTGTGCAAATTCTCCGAGATCAACAAAGATTTCGTTTGGGATTGCTTTGCTTTCTTACTATTTCTTAAAACAACTTTTAATTTTGTACAAGAAAACAGCTTTAAGAAGCAGTAAAAAAGCTGTCCCAAACCAGAGAGTAATAGCCCTTGTAAAACAGTACTAGTACCGCTTAGCTAATCTTCAAACATAATAATCATTACTAATTACAAACTGCTAATAAAAATAACATTTATTAACAAAAGAAAAAAAAACATGAAGTATTAATCTAATTTCAAAAGAAAACTACAATTTGATGCAATAATAGTTCATTGCAACATCTAAAAAAACAAAAAAAAAACACTATAAATCAATATCTCCACCCTATTTACGTTGAGGACAATATATAAACTGTGCTTATAGAAGGAAGCCTTGCTTACAGAGAGAGAGCTTCACGGTAAGCATCCAGTTCCTCCATAGGGACAGCACACATATTCCAAAAGTCAGAACTGAAACATATCAAGAAGAAACGGTAACTTCAACCAAAATACAGTTAAAATATTCGTTTGGGACGGTTTTCTTACTATT